GTAAGACTCGCATAGTGGGAATCTTCAGTGTGACTTGTATTTGTTATATGTTAGCTAATTGGAGGTAAAAGAAGAAAAATTTTTGATGAAGATGGATTCCAAGGGGTTATCTGCACTCTATTCAAATATTGATTGTACAGCCCATCTACTTTGTTATTCTTCTATTAAAAATCTGTAAAATGAAACTAAAGTGCTAGGAAGTAGAGAAGGCACAAAGAGGTAGAACAGGAAAATTCTTCAGCTAGAATGAATGACAAGTGTATGTATTGCCTCAGGTTCAGACAAGATAAGTTGTTTAACCTCTCGAAGCTTATCTTTTTTTGGAAGAATATACACACAGTGAAAACTGTGGGCAGAATGTAGGTAAGCCTAAAAACAGCTACCTTTGAGCTGTGTGCACGCTTCTACACTGCATAATAAAAATGAGAGATGTTAGTTTTGAAACCATCTTTGAGATGTAAGACTCTATAGTAGAAAAAAGAGCTGGCACTTTAATGTCTAAATATACAAAGGTTAATGTTTGGGCTTGGGGCTTTTAGAAAGAAATATGTATAGTACCAGTAACAAGCAAGAGGTGGAACTCGGCACTCTGAAGGGTTAAAGTGAACTTTAGTCTTCCACCGATCACCCTCTGGTACTGTGTCTTCATAAATTTCCCCCATTTATGGAGTGTTTTTGATGGCAGGCAATTCTTTGTTGAAAGTTAAGTGCTCTTTTATATGAATAAATAAAGAAGGCTTTGGTTTGAATGAATACATTATTTTGACAAATGTTTATTGGAAACCCAATTATGGCTTCATAAATCAGTGCTATCTGTGGTACATCAGGTGAGCTCACCCATGCCATCAAATGGCACGTTGAATATTAATAGGATAATTAAAACAATTCTGTTGAATGTTGTCCCTCTTACCCAGGTCTGACAGTAGTCAAAACAGGAAGAAATTGTTTATTATTTTTATTTAACTTATTAAAATACTTCTTGTAAGATGTAATGGACATACTTAACAAAAAAGAAAAAAACATTTGTTTTCAATTTGCAGTTAGATTAAAATGACAAGGTCAGGCACAATGCATGAACTGAGTGGCAGCTGAATTTTAAGAGTAGTCAGGGAACAGAAAGGATATGTATGAAGTCTATTGTTTGAACTTTACACCTAGGTGAAGTGGGGCTTTGTTTGTTTTGTCTAAAGTGGTCACTGATGATATGAAATGTGTCTAGAGTCAATTCATGTGCTTCCTTGTCCGCCCCGCTCCAGTGATTCCGAGTTAGAATGACCAAATGAATGAGAAGCCATTTTTATAACTATGAAGATGAAGGGAATCAAGTGAAAATCTTGAACTCAAGGTCAAGAAGAAAGGGAGGAGGTTCAAGCTGAAAATAAATAAATAAAAGTCTACAGGGGACAAGCTAAGAGGAATTCCCATCTCTTGAGGCCTTCTGACTGATGACAGCAAAATGGAGACGTTTACAATATCTGTGGCAGGACACCGAAGATCTGTTTAAGCTTTACGAAAAGAATCTGCATGATTTCCCAAAGGATCATTTCCCAGTTTTAGGATATGGCTGAATTTATATCCACTAGGACTGACAATCATAAAATAAGGACTGAAACTTGGGTAGTTGGGTTTGGTGTGTATTTGAGTTAGTGTGATATAAATAGCCACCTAGATGCCTTCCTTACCAGCTCAACTTCAGTATAACATTCTTCTCAGTGACACAGAAGAGGGAATGAGGAGACATAAGGAGAACAACAGAAGACAGCACAACATTCAGCTTTTCTCCCATGAAAGAAAATGAGTGTTAGGAGTTGGCCAGAGAGATGGCAATGAAATACTTTTATTTGGAATTTGTCAGTTCACTGAAAGGAAAAAAAAAAATCACCAAGACAAATTTTTTTGTTTCACAAGAAATTAACCTTCCTCCAGAGCAACTCAGGCTCCAGATTTCTGGTATCTGGCAGCAGGCAGACAACCTGGAGGCCTCAGGGCTGAAGCTCCCACATTAGAACATCTCAGAAACTCGTATTTCCCCAGAGATCTGCTTCTCAGATAACGTACAAAGTTTGAGGTCTTCTTTCAAATAATGGTGAGACAAAATTTTGTAATTTTCTGCAAGATGAGATAATATTCTCCCTTTTCCACCCTACCTTACCCTATTCCCTTCTCAGGTTTTCAGATGAACAAACAATAAAAGTGTGGGAAGCAATATAGGGAGTCTTCACTATTTAGGATCCTATTTTTTCATAGCAAAATAAGAGTACATTCAGTCTAAAACCGGACATGCATTTTGCTGCCAAGGGCACCATCACCAGTAATACTCTGTAGATAAAGGAGACAGAACTTAGGGCAATCATGGTGCATGAAGCAGGATAGAACCTTGGGCTTTTTCTCTTACCTAAGCAGCCATTCCAGGGCAAACAAATCCGGAAATCTCTTTTCCAGAGTAGAGAGAAGTGAAGGTACTGTTTTATATATTCATTTTAGGAAAACTATTGCTTAAGTCTCATGGATTCTCCTTTTTTATGTCTTAACTTCTGGACCCACATTCTAGTTACCCCTAAGTGGAAATTAGGATTTTAGACATAAACTCTTCTTACTACACCATTTTTTCATGCGTATCCTCAGAAAGGCAGACCATTCAGTCCAAGCTATGCGCCTAGAAATTAATTTCCTTGAATAGGATTAAGGAGATGTAAGTGGTTGGCCTGTTAAGAAGAACTATGGAAATTTAGAAACTTCCCTGAGCTCTGCTAAGGCTGGAAGGGTAACAAGAAAAAGGCAGTCTGCAGTCCATGGACTTGACACAAAAGGCGCAAGGCACAGCTCTTCAACACCCTAATTATCAGCCAAAGCGTCAGCCCTTCCCCCAAAGTTTCAGGGAAGTTTGTTGTCAATCAATAATGCTAACAGATTTGGTTCCTAGCAAAGTTTATCAGTTTTTCTTATCTCTAGTCTCTTTTCTCAAACCCTGTTTCCTCCCTTTGCCTGTGGCTACCCTAACTGCAAATGTGAATTATTGGAAGGGGAAAGGAGAGTGTCGTGGTTTAACCTCAGTCAGCAGCTGAGCACCACACAGCTGCTCGCTCACCCCCTCCCCCCCAGTGGGATGGGAAGAGCAAAAGTGAGAAAACTTGTGGGTTGAGATAAAAACAGTTTAATAATTGCAATAAAATAAAATACTAATAATACTAATACTAATACTAATAATAATAAGAATATAGAAAGCAAGTGATGCACAATGCAATTGCTTGCCACCCGCCAACCGATGCCCAGCCAGTCCCAGAGCAGCGGCCCCCCCGGCCAGCTTTCCCCAGTTTATGTACTGAGCATGACGTCACATGGTATGGAATATCCCTTTGCCAGTTTGGGTCAGCTGTCCTGGCCGTGCCCCCTCCCAGCTTCTTGTGCACCTCCAGCCTTCTCAGTCGGTAGAGCATGAGAAGCTGAAAAGTCCTTGACTAGTGTAAGCACTGCTTAGCAACAACTAAAACATCGGTGTGTTATCAACATTGTTCTCATACTCAATCCAAAACACAGCACTGTACCAGCTACTAGGATGAAAATTAACTCTATCCCAGCCGAAACCAGGACAGAGGGGAGAGAAAGAACCCCAGTTTTCACAGTTCAGATTTAAAACACAGCAGCTCTGAGAGACTTCCCCTTAGATTTTATTTCTGAAGAAGCTGTGGCTATCAACCATATTTCCTTTGTTGTTGATTTAGCATTTGAACACAGGACTGAAATGTTGTCTAATTTCACTCTGCCTTCTGCCAAAAAATCTTGATGGACAAGCTGGTTATTCCATCATTTCCCAGCCCCTGTGAGTGCAATGCATCAGAACAGCTGCTTCTCTTTTCTCTAGTGACAAAGAAGCTGCACCACTGCACACCTTACATAGCCTCCTATTTCAGTGGAAACCAGCATTTAAAGCATTTTCCCAAGTAACTAGTGATAGGACGAGAGGAAATGGCCTCAAGTTGCACCAAGGGAGGTTTAGATTGGACATGAGGAAAAATTTATTTACTGAAAGAGTGGTTAACCATTGGAAGAGGCTGCCCAGGGAAGTGGTTGAGTCACCATCCCTGGAGGTATTTAAAAGACGTGTAGATGAGGCGCTTAGGGACATGGTTTAGTGGGCATGGTGGTGTTGGGTCGACGGTTGGACTCGATCATCTTAGAGGTCTTTTCCAACCTTAATGATTCTATGATTCATTACATCTTAGAGCTCAAAGGAGGGGAAAGCTTCGAGGAAGACACTTCTTCCTTTATATGCAAGACTCCTGTTGCCATCCATAAATCACTCAGGCTGCTATTATAATCCAGAACAACAAGCTGGCATCACCCCTAAATACAGAAGTTCGTGTGAAAGATTAGCAGAACAAAACCAATAAAAAAACACCTAGAAGATAAAATGCTTGAAAATATCTCCCCAGATTTCCTTGTGGCAAGACAGTGATTGAGCCATAAATAAAGCTGTTCTTCTTCAGGGGATATTTAGGGAGAAGGCAGTACAGTTTGTACCTATGCTCATCTAAAGAAGAACTGCAGCTCTTACGCTAACGGGGAGAAGCAGATAACTGATCACTGCCCTCAATTATTTCAAATGCACTCCTCTTTCCTTCCAGCAAGAAAAAAAAGCAAGCCTTTTTTTTAACAGAATCTGCATAAAGGAATAGAACATGTTTTTAATGCTAGCTTTCATTTGATTAGCTTTTAGCTTTTCCTGTGGTTTATTTGCATTGCTAAAAACAAAAACAGCGGATTGTGTTGGATGGATAGATTAAATTTCTTCTTTTTCAAAAGTAACTTTGACCAGCACATAGAGAAATATCCATGTTATAAAGGCTTTGTACAGCATCACAGAAAACAATGGTTATTCAGAGCCAAGAACTCTGGTCCATTATGTACTACTCAGTGGTGATACACAAGAAACAATGACAGAGAAACAGACTGTCCAGCAAGTATTTGCTTTGAAGCCCACACAAAAAAATCTACACTGTTCATTGCATTATGAAATTTTGAAATCTACCAATTTCCACTCTATCTCTTTGTCCTGCCTGTCCATCAACTTCATCTGAACATGCCTGTGGTCTGCAATAAGCAGTGGGATGAAAAAGTCTATAATAAACAACAAGAAAAATAATACCTAACACCAGACTAAGAATAGTTAGGATGCTTACAATTGTAAAATGTATTTCCTTGATAATGGAAGGTTTCCAGAACATATATACAAACAAAATACCTAGAGTTATAATAGTGTGAGTAGCATAATAAATAGAAATGCAAACTTTTGTTTTTCTCCCCTTTATGTTAAAAAAGGTAAAAATTAGAATGATTCCAACAACAGTTCTGTACAGATATTCCATTTTCTTAGATTTGCAAAATGTCGTATGTTGTTTGAAAGTCCAGGTGAAGCCACAGATCCAAAGAAATATCAGCAGAATTACAGAACTTCTAACATTTAGTAGAGTCATCAGTGAAATACTGAGTATCCAAGAAGTGATGGTAAGCAGTTTATAGAAGACATACACTAGCTTGGGAAGCACACGAAATTCATCTTTATCAGGCAGAGATTTTCGTAATGATATCTGATAATCAACTGTTGAAAAGGAGATACTGCAAAAAGACGTAATAATGGCAGCATCTAAACAAAACACAAGGAAAAATGTCAAACCAAAGAAAAAGATACTTATTTTATATTATAATTTCTGAATGAACTTTTGGACAAGTTCATGCTTTCTTAACACTTTCTTTATATCAATTTTATATGTCCTCTGTGCTCCTGAATGAGTCACCTTAATCTTAAGGCTCAGTTTAGTTACTTAAATCTAGGCATCTAATGCTGTTTGGTATGCCTATGTTATCCTGCCTGGCCTCTGGCAGTTAATGGTCTTGCCCAAGTTGTGTGTTGCATTTGTCATCTCCATACACTGATGGCTTAGAAATTCCTGAAGTATTGCAAGTAGCCCATAAAAATTTAAGTTTCAGCAACTGATATTGACTCTAGGGTGTCTATAATGTTGAAATCTATAACTAAGGCTTGACCCTTCACATGGATTGTTTTGTCTGAGTACCTATTGACTCCATGGACTATGAAGGAGCACTAGACAGCAGTGCAGGTCTCTCCATTTGGTTAGATAAATTCCAAACCTGAGTAAGTCAATGTCTTGCCAATAATCCTGCTAGTTTTAGAGCTGGAAATGGTACAGCTACTGTCTTGCTTCTGAGAGTTGAACCTGTATCTCTTCATCACATTGCATTCTGCAAGCGGGCATATCCTTAGGTTTTTTCTGATTCTGTCCCTCATCTGTAACGTGGATGGTGGTAGTGACAGCTCACAGGGCTGCTGTAAATACATCGCTGATTTCCAGATGCCCAGTTAGCAGTTTTAAAACAAACTGTAAGCAAAAGTACACAAAACAAACTGCTCTGCAAATTACATATGAATTGTATTCAATAGCTTATTTTCAAGTGATGTATCATTATGTTTCTATTAGATATTATGACCTTTTATAGTGAAATCTTCCTTCTCATGGATTTAGCAGAACGGACCATCTACTAGACAGAAATTCTAACTAAATGCAGAGTAATTACACAGTGGAGTGTATGTTTTCCAAGGTATGTTTAAAATGTTATCCAATCACATGAGTTGTCTTTTTAGGTAAGATACTCAACTTGCAAATTAAGGAGAAAGACAGACTCACATTGACAGAAATTATTTTTGCCATGTTCCATGAGGATGTAAATCTGGACAAAAAGCTGTGGTGTGGTCTCAAGAAAAGTCTTGAATACCCTGAGCATGTTAATATCAGCCACTGCATCAACAGCTTGTTTTTGAATGAAGTTGGGAGGGTCTGTTTCTGATGCATCTCCGCTACTTTTTTGTTTAAATGCAGCTTGGCAGCCATACTTCAAAGCAAACCAATACCTACAAAAAAAGGAGACTTGATTAGACAGCGTTTTTTAGAAGCGCAACTCAATAAAATGATATAGCCTAACAGCAATTTTTCCCATTTCATTCTCCATTCACATTTTATCTTTGAATGTAATCCAGCACCTTCTACTAAGACAAAATTTTGTCCGATATCTGTCTGGTATCAGTGATATCAGATAATCATTTAAGCCCAGTGATACCGATGCAATGTAAAAACTACTAGAACAGAATGAGACTTGCCTGAATAAAGATTACAAGCTTTGTTTTGTTAGGTTCTTATTGCTTTAAAAGTACCACATTTCTGACGATTCCCTTAGCGTCTCTCCTCAGTCTCTCTTTGAGATACTCATTCACTTTCTTTGTATCCCTTTAAGGGTATTTGCGAATATCAGCTGAGAACATCCACATCTATATAAGTATAATATAGATCCGTAAGCCCCAAGGATAATATCTGAAGAATTGCAAACATACAACAGACTTAAAAAAAAATCACTACAGTGTTATTTTCCAAATACTCAGGAAGACTTTCATTTCAGAAAATGATTTTCAAGACATATGGATTCCTGGGTTGACAGGTTCTATTAATAATCTGAGTGGTTTTACATGAAGAAGCCATTTGCTTTGGCAAATGAGTGCACCTGAATGACTTTTAGAACAGTTCTGGTTTATTTTCAGTTAAGCCTAAATGAACACTTCCTCTAAAAGAGCAGTAAATTCAAAGATACATGGAATTAGTTAGTCACGACTGGTGTACGTTCTATGTGGTAAAGAACCTTTTCTGTTTAGGATATCTCTAATGCTTTGCTTAGACATAAATAAAACCTAGCTCTTACTCCCATTTTCAAGACTTTTGCTTCAGGCCTGGAGGTGGATGTAGCACTTCAGAGGGGAGAGAATGCTTAAGTTTTAATCAAAACCCCTTTTTGATAATTAAGGGAGGAACCACCTATTGTACATGGTAATCTTTAGAGCTGTGTTTAGCAAACAGGATGGTGGCTACAACCTGATGTAGGACCAGAGCTCCAGCTTCTGGAAATTGTAGTATTTCCACTGTCCCTAATGAACTCACACACACATACACAGCCCTGGTGAATGTTCTGACTCATTGCAGTAGTCCTTTGGAGGCCAAGCAAGGTAGGCAATGCTGTAATAGATGAAATGGGGCAATTCTAGAAGAGGTTTTCACAGCTAAAGACCAGTCTTTCCAGCTGAACTGTTCAGCAGCAAAGAAAGAATCTTTTGGAACCAGCCAACAAATGAAAGCAAGGAGAAGTATCCTCGTAAGTATGCCTGTAAATCCTGTCTTGAAGCAAAGCAATGCTTGCTCCCTTCTGCTGTTTACTTGATTTCAAGTGGTCAGTAACACTGGCTGTGCGGATTGTAGACTAAGCCTTGTAACTCTGCAGCACCATAATAGGCACTGTAATTGCTAGTAATGCAGCATAAGCTTTGCAAGGCCTCAGGACTGAGGCTTGTCAGGCTTGCTCTGTTTGAAGTTTTCATGACCTGTTTGTGACTTTGTTTTACTTGGTTTAGCTTGGATTTTCTTCGGAAAAATTGGTGATTTCTTCCAATTGACCAGATGGGTAATTTGGTTTACTTTTGGTTTTTTTTGTGTGGTACAGCCATAGTTTTATATAGGTAACAGTAACAAGCAGATATTCTATATTGAATGAGATATTTATGACAGACATGATGACGCAGAATAGAGAAATATAGTCCTGTTATGATAGCAGAGGTCCTGAGATGTGGAGACACCAGATGCAGTGTAGAAGGGTGCATGCATAAGATGATAAGTGATGGCTTGACACTGGAGACAACACGGCTATAAACAAATCACCAATGGTCGGTTGTAGAAATGCAGACCTGGCGCTGAATGAAACCAGATTTAGGGGTTACAAAGAGAAAAAAGAAATAGTATCTAACATGCGTAAAAGGCACCATAGATACTAAGTTTGGATGTAATGTGAAGCTGCAGAGAAATGAAGAGAAAGCAAAGTCTAAAAGTGTGTTAGCAAACATACAAAAAAGACCCAAAGTGGATCCTAAGAGTGAAGAAGAAAACATCAACATGAACATCATGTTCCTCCCAGCAAGACTCCAGACACAGGTAACTCCCCCCACGCACCAGAATGAAACTGCTGACCTTAAGACCCAGAGGAGCAGAGGAAAGGTGAGAAAAACACAAGGAAAAGGGATAGCAACTAAGAAATATGTGTGTAACAATTTTAACCGTGTTATTATTACTGAAACTTTTGATGCATAGAGGTATTCTTTCTTTTCCTGTAATAAACAGATCTAGACTAATAATGATTCTTGGAATCAACTGTTACAATTTCACTTATACTAAGTTCTAAGATTTATAGGTATATAAATCCTGTGTGTTTGCTTATAAACAGGATTTTGAACATAACAGCCTTCAGACATCACTTTCAAGCCTATTTCTGCCTATTCAGTTCCCAGATGTCTTGAGCTTCCAATATTCTTCTCCAATGAACCCATTTTGACTATAACTGGCAGGCAAGGACAGCAAAAGCAGTCCTTTTTCAAGAAAACTGTTATTGAGCCAATTTTTCTAACATTGTAAACATTGTAAAGGCCTTCCCCCTCAACAGAAGAATTTAGTCATCTGGATTACAAAGGTTATGTCACTCATTCAGATCTATTTTCTTGAGAAATCAAGCAGAACACCACAGACCATCGCTTGGTTATCTTACACAGTTGTACAAGCCTGCTAACGTGCAGGCTGAGAAAGGCAAGGTCCTATGCCTTAGCTTGCCTCCTACTTCCATTCGCTAAGGCTGCATCTGAGATGATGTCCAGATTCGTGCTGAAGTGCCGCAGGTTCCTGATTCCCTCATTGTCCACAGAATCATACACACTACGGACCCCATGCAACACATGCAACTGCATTTCCTTTACTTAGAAAACAGCGGGCAGGAGATCACCCAGATCTCACAGAATCATCTCGTCCCAATATGACATTGTAAGCAGAAGGGGACTGTGCTCCAAAGGGAGCTAGGAAGAATTCCTGGCTCCTCCAGGTGTGAAAAGTTTAACACCTTCACCACCTTTAAAGACCAAATCCTTTGACCACAGGGGAGACAGTGTCAGGGCTTCTTCCATAGCTACAAGTGAGACAGCCAGGATTTGCAGGTCCTGGGTTAAGTGCATGCTAGAGGAATCATGACTTATTCCCCAGTATGTTAAAGCATGTCGACCATACAAGCGAGAATTGCAACCTGAAAGCATCAGTAGTAGGCGTGGAGCAGGTATGTTACTACTGAGGAGCCTTACGGGAAGATCCTTTGCTCCTCTCCTGGCAGAGATTCATAGACTGCAGCCCTGCCATTCAGGCCATACACTGATCCTGTCAGCTGGCTCTAGCTCCATTATTTACTCCCAGAGGAAACTGTTTTCTACTTTTATGTTTTTGTGTATTTATCTTACTGCTGTCTGAATAATCACTCACAAGCAAAGAACTGAACTGTTTGGCAAGCCATCTACAGCTTTTTGAGTTTATAAAACAATTGGGATTCCAAAACATCTGGTTCTTGCATCAGAGATGTAAACGTCTGGAGAGTTTGCAATGTTTTCAAGAAAAAACAGTTGGGTTGACCAATCTGTTAGTTGTCCGTGGACTCATTCACCAGAGCCTGTGCTTGTCCAAGCAGCAAGAAGTGGAAACAAGCTGCACTAATTTCAAGCTACAGAGCTCACGCTGAGAAGGCAGATGATATGCAAGGCAAGAACCAGACGTTGTAAAAGGAATATTTCAGCTGGATGCACACCTAAAATCACTTGTCAGTTTTCAGAAACATATTCCTTCTGAGTATGGTATCCTAGGTTTATATTGTTGGTATGCTATAGTATTTTTCACTAGTTGTAGCGATTTCAGTTAGTCCACTTCTGACTTTGAATACTGTATAAAATACGTTGTTTTTTCTAGAAAAGTCCAAATAGTTCCATTGCTCATTGACTATATATTGAGCGAGGTGGTATTCCCTGAGCTCCACACGCCTATGTCTGTAGTTCACTGCGACAAATCTTTTATCCTTTAAGAGTATCTTCAGCTTACACGCCCATTCCCATCTGCCCATTTGGCGTGCAATATTCAGACAGTTTAGGAAGGGCCCAAAGCCAACTTTTAGGCCTAACATGGGACAACCGCATTCACAGCCAAGGGCGAAGTTCAGTCGGTGCTAAGGGATAGATCAGACTCAAATTTTCTCCTTTATCATGCCCACGGCTCACCTAAATGCTGTGTCTGCTATGAACCTGTCATAATTATATTCCTATATTAATATATCTGTTGCCATAGCAGCTCCATGTTTCAATCTTCATAAACTGAAAAAAAAGCTCTTAAAAAGCTACTTCAACTGGAATAAAAATACATTAATTGAAAGTATTGGATTGGTTATGTAATTTAAGTAGACGTACCACTTAAACTGAAGGTGAAACGGGTATGGGTAGTGTGTCATCAATACGAACAAACGCAGGCTTGCCATTTACTTTTTGTCCCTCTAAACTAATTAAAGAGGATTTTTTTTCATTAATTCATTAATTAAGCTACTTGGAAGCCAATAGAGTAAAAAATCACAATTTCTTTACAACTGGAATTGTCATATGTGAACAGTAAAGAACTATCAGTGTTTCTAAATATGATTTTCACTTTGATAGGAAAAAAAAAAGGTTTTCGCCTTTGTAGTGTTGCTTTGTGGAGAACACAGATGCTAGGACTCCTACTTATTACAAATACTCATTGAAACACAGCTCCACTGTCTCTCTGTTCTTGAGATGCTCCTACATTTTCATGATCATTTCATAAGGGATGAAGTTTGCTTCTGGTCTCCTGTAAAATTAAGAAGGCTTTGGCTCTCCAAGCATGACTGGGAATTCACAGAGGTGACAGCTACTTGTTTTTGTTGCTTCGCAGCCTTCACATGTGACAGGCAAACTGCCTTGCCAGTGCTTCCACGTCACCTGCTTCCCCTCAGTTTTCCACTGAGGACTTTCCACCACAATCCCAGTGCTACACTTCACGTCCCACCTCATCAAACTACACTGATAAAGATTGGGGTGCCATTTAGAAATTCATGCAGGGAGGGTGTGAGAGAGACCTGGCAGCAATGATTGTCCCTTCTAAATTCTGGTCACGCAGTCACAGTTTGCAGCATTGTACAAATCCTTAATCAAAGGAAAATTATTCTCTGCTGCATGTTAAATTTAATCCTCTAAGTGTCGAAAGGCTTGGTGAAGTCCATGAAACTGATGCAACTAAGTCAATACTTAGGACAGTAAATTTATATTAGGAAAATGTGATCAAGCACCTATTATTTTGTAACCTCTAACTCACTTAAAGTAGCATTACAAACTTTCCACTTTTAATTGACTCTCTGTACCTCACTCACTTGGTATCTTAAATACCTTTCTATTTGTTTTGTCCTATGGACCTTCTTGTTATGCACATAAATTGCTAGAGGCATGTTACCAGCTTCAGTCCTCATTTTTGATCCATTCTTGGTTTGGGTGTGACTTAACAGGTGCTAAATCTGTACCAGTATAAACTGAACATCTTGACTGAATTTTTCTCATCATCTTTTAAAAACGTGTAATGAAATAATCCCAGGTTCAGCAAAGCATGCACATTTACTCTAATGTCTCATGGATTTAGAATTCGTCTCTGCAAAAAAATCTTTTTCATCTGCTCCTGTTCAAAGATGCAGGGCATCTCAAGCCTGCCTTCAAGCATCAAGAGGCACAACAGCAGCTGCCAATATCACAACGGCTGCTGCCTGTATGGCCTTCTATTCTGACAGTGAAAGTTATTAATTGTTAAAATTTAGTCTTTCTCAGGTGTCCTCGACTGATGCTGCAAACTGCTACACATCAGTGGACTCTAGAATTCATATGGTGCCCCAGGGAAATGTCCCCTTTTTCCACATTCACTGACTGTGTTATTGTCTTAATGTTGACTCTTATGCCGCAGTCTGTTCTCAATTCTACCAACATCTGTGTGACCCATTTAAATGGGTCAGGCTGAAAATAATTTTAGTCAGTATAGCTAATACATATTTTACCAGCTTAATTTTGCTCCTTGCAGAGAATAACATTTCATACGAAATATAATTACAGGTCTACATTCTTTCCATTAAAATAAACTAAAGCCTTATTAGATATGAAATAATTTTAATTTCTTTTTTCTCTATTTTTAATATATATATGTGCATAAGTGTATACACACATATTATTTCCATATTTATTACTTAGCATTGGCTGTGTGATAACATAACCGGACTGATTCCCATTGTGCTGTGCACTGTACAAACATAACATAATGAAGTTCCCTGTTTCAAAGACAGAGCAAGAGGCGTAAAAGACATATGAAAGAGGGAAGAAGGGAAGAAAGAAAGGAAGAAATGAAGGAAGATAATTTGGTAAAGTGTATTCACGTCTTATAATTTCAGGCATCCTAAATTCACTGGCCAAGTCGTATTTACTGGCTAGGCCCCTATTTTCCTCTGTAGTGAATAGAGAATATAGGTTCTTGCCCCAAATGACCTTCTGGAGGAGGTCACCTTAACAAGTATGACCCGACTCCTGACAAAACCTATTTTTATCCATTGACTATAGAGATAAGCCTGAGAGACTCATTGTCTAAATTAACCAGATAAATCAGATGACCAAGAAGGACAGGAGGAAGTTGTACATGGATACACCTAAGAAAACACATATAATAGGAAGTATATAATAGTTGATCATAAAGGTACAAGCACAGATATCAGCTTGCTGTTACCAGTTTATACCTTACAGTATGCATTATCACACTGCTGAATTTTGAGGAGTGGCTGAAAGAACTTTGTAATTTATACATACCAGCTTGGCAACTTTTTCCAGGCGTAAGTGGCAGCATAGGAGAAAATATCATTTGTGCAATAAAGAACAGGTGACCAAGTTGACAACACTGTCAGTGCAAAGGGCAAAATCATGTTTACTAGATAATAAGCCACACAGAGAAGATGGGGCTAATTCTGGGAAGGAAGCTTTGAAAATTATAGACATTCATGGTAAAAGGTATTCATTGGAAAGGGTATGAGTTCAGGTAAATCCAAGAGTTTCATTACCTCAGAGTTAAGGTAATCCATAAAGATTTGCCCGTAAAAGCAGCATTTTGAATAGATACAAGCACTGAGTCAAGATTACTGTATCTAGAGTTGTAGACGATTGGAGCTTGGATCTGAATTCTGATAGTCTGTGTTGAAAGGTGAGGTCTTAGAGATAGGCATTAATCAACAGGAAATTTTAGGGGCAACCTGGGAGTGTAAAACCAAGCCAAAGGTGAAACCAGAATTACAGTCCTGAACAGATTACAGAGAATGAGGTCATGGAAGAGAAAGGGGAAGAAGGGAGGTTTTGGGCCAGACATTGAAAAAGCGGCTTCTGCCATTCTACACTGCGATTACTGGCTTAACATTTATCATCAGTTATCAGAGAGAGGGGTCATGGCTTTAATTGCCTTTGGAAGAAACAAACTCAGAGGGGCGGGTTTGTAAGTCATGAGCACAAGAATGGCACTCCCAGCCACACCTGAAGATTAAAAGCCTTGGGGACAGACAAAAAGAAGAGTGCCACAGTGGGCCCTGAGACATCCTCTCTAAAAAGCAGAACTTGGTAGAGTCCATGTGGCCAGGTCTTGGTATATCTCACATGAACCAACCCATGTCCATGGATCTGGTTAGTGAATAAGAAACCATCCAGAAAAATTGAAGAAGGATTTTCTTTTTCTTCAAAATGTAGTATTTCTAAGTTTTTCTAATACCTGACACCAGGAAAGTTAAACCTGTCAGTAAATACTCCTCTGTGAATTCTAAAACTTCAGGATTGTAAGAGGAGGAGGAGCAGGAAAGTAAAGCTGACAGACAAAAGGAAAAAAATATTGAGAGGCAAAAGTTAATTGTGACATGTAAAAGCTCCATCATTTTCCTTAATCCATGATAACATCAGGTGAATAAAACATGCATGTGAGGGGAATTTTTACATTGGCATAAATATATCTTTCATCGCTGTCCATAGATTAGTATAGGAAGTTAAAGGAGGTATTTTAAATAGTTAAAGGAGGTATTTTAAATAAGTATTTTATTAAGTGTCTCCGATAAGTCTATATTCACTCATGTTTCTCGCATGTTGCATACCCAAAATAATTAAAATTCAGGACTTTTTGCCAACATCTTTCACCTCAGTTTTAAAATGGAAGTAAAATCTTGGCACAAATGATTTCTATAATGATAATGATAATTTTATAGCAAAGCCACCACAGAATGTTAAGCATATGGCATCTTAAACTATTCCTGGGCATGTGCCTTTCAGCAAACAAAGGTTCCTGTCACCATTAACTCAGTCCCTGCAGGAAGTACTGCTGCAAGTATTCTTACTAACTATTCAACTATTCGTGTCTCTCCTGAATCTTGGTGGGTTTTCTACATATGGTTAGACTCTCAGGTTCAAAAATTACCTCTTTCTTCAGCTGTCTCACCTGCTTAGTGTAATCAAATGAATTCTTAACATGACTTTAAAAACTTACTTATCAGTTACAACAGTATTGCTCTGTAAAGCAAGCCTTTTTATTAAATATGCCCTATCAAAAGGCTGATGAATCAAATAGAGTTAGCCTGTGAATGATAAAAATTATTACTTACAGGTAAAATGAAAGAAGATCTACATTTCCATCAAAACCTGACATAATTTACCCCTGGCATAAGCAGACAAAAATCCATTTGCTTACATGGAGCAATAATTGCTAAGGCCAGAAACGGTTTTGTCCCTGAAGCCATATTAAGTATTTCTTAATAAACTGTCTTAAAGCAATATGATTTGTCATTTTAAAATAAATTTTAAAATGTGCCTACCTTATAAAAATTCCACACTGAAAGAGATGAGCTAGAAAAATCCATTTCAGCTTCCCAGTATCAGTACCTTCCCAGTCATTTTTAAACCACTCATAACTGAATACCTGAGTTATTAATGATGAAAGACCTCTAAAACACAGTATCAGTATACCCCAACGGTATTGTCCTTGACAGAAATATTTACTAGCTACCCAGAAGTCCACTCCAATATCAACTACATAAATTATAATTCCACCAACTAAAAAAATAAAATTCTGCTTAGTAAATTTCATCATGCATTAGACTGTCACTCTTGTCATTCTCTCCTCACTTCACGTAAAGGAAAGTCAGAATTAATCTAAATGCTTTCCTACAACAGACTCTTTTTCCTGATGATACCACCTGCTTATAGTGCTTTATAGAAAGGAAAGCTGGGTTATGCATTTTTGTTAGGGCAAAGGGGCTTGCATTTGTCTGGATTCTTGATTTAAATATTAAATTAACTACACCAATACATGTCTATTCTGGAAAAGATAAATGTAAATTGTCTTTGTAATTGATGGAGTCATTCTTCATTACTGGTTCCTAAAAAGAAGAAGAAAAGAGGAAGATCAGCAGTAACAATATTTTCTCTTAACATACCATACAGCAATTCACACAAATATTTAAACAAGCAAGTACAAAATGCAGAATGTACTGAAATATCTGAACAATCAGCCCAAGAGAAGCTGCACCTCTGAACCTGCTGAGGTCACCCACTCTCCCAACCACAGTGACTCTCCACTTACCAAGCAGCTGTTGAGATAATTCCTAACAGTTGCAAAATACTAAGAAACAAGCTTACCTTTACTAGTTTTTAAAACATATTTATGGAAAAAAAGATTGATTCCTTCCCAGAACTTTCTTAACTTCTGAGCTATTCTCCCTTAACAGTGCCCAGCACAAAACACTGAGAAAACTCGTCTTGAGTACACACCATTGTATCAGAGTACACATCATTATGTCATTTCCAACAGTGTTACTGCATTTATGTGCATACATCTAGCAGTTTTATCATTTCTGCTTGTTTTTCCACATGCAGCAAGAAAGTGCTGAATAGGATTGCAGCTCTCCTGTTAGAGAGACTTGTAAGGAGCCAGACCTGAACCAGTCTACACCTCTTTGGGAAACGTCTCCCAAGCTGTGTGAGTAGTAGCTACACGCAGATGACCTAACCACATTGTCTACTACAAATAGAATTAATTTGCAGTCTGAACTACGTTTACATTGCCTAACATTGCAAGGATTCTTGTGACCTCTTTGAGTAGTCCTTACACATCTTGCGTCTGTAGATCTGTGGTATTTGCCAGGTGAAACAGAAAAGCTGTAGGGCAGCACATTGTTTGTCTCATTCATTTCCACCTCTGCAAAGCTATAAACATTAAAATGTCAAAGTCCCTTATTTCATTTGTATATCTTAGGAAAAAGTTGCTGGCAGCAATTCCAAAGGATGGGAGGGGGGAAGTGCCAAAGCAGCAGGTCTGGGCTGGTGCCACCGCCGAACAGCAGCAGACAGTACACAGGGAACAGCTGTGCCAGGGAACTCGGGGCAGGAGAAAGGCATGTGGAGGCAGGTCTCCTTTGGATTTTTGTGAATTTAGGCACGCTGCCACACAGGAATGAAATGAGACAATTGGTTAATATCCCATGAACGAAGCTTTTGAAAGGTAATGACTATTCTTTGCTTGTGTTGGCTGGGCTAGTCTACGCTGTGACCCAGGTACAAATCCAAAAAAAAGAACTTAAGCTCTTAATTTCCTAATGAAGATAAGTGGGAACATAACAGCCTAAAAAGGTGCTGGGTGTCTAAACATTATTTTTTCAGATCTAGGCCTTAGCTATTTCTAGCCTCTTGTTCTATCTCCTACTTAGGTTTCATGTCCTGGCCCAGAAGAGGTCAGAAAGATCAGGTGATCTTACAGCTGGGATAGCTGGAATCCTTTCACTGTTCTTTCCTATCCTCTCCAATAAAATACCAGTAATCTCTTTCAAATCACTAATGGAATTTATATCCAATTCACAGTCAGATTCAGGGAAGTGGACTTCAGTACAAAGTCCAGCATAAACTGAACTTTGTGTTTATAAATGTTTCATATCTGAAAATTTGTGTATGAACCAACTTAAGAGTTTATTACTAGGATTCATTCAAAAAAATTCCGAAGCAAACTGTATTTACTCTATATAAGAACATCATGTCATTCTGCAACTTGATGTACCACCTTTGTCAAGCTGTATCCTTTTTTGTGACAAGAACATTATGCACGGTTTTTAGAACAGACTCAGAAAAAAACCCAAAGACCTCAACAGGTTCACTATTTTACTGTTGCAGGAAACACGACAGCGAAAGGTAAGTCAATAACTGGATCCAAACAGAAAGTTGTTTGGATAGGCAATTTATGGCTGAAGTAGGCAGTATACCAAGGTTCACATTTAATGAGTAATATTGTACTGGACATTTGAGTGGCAAGGAGTAGCCTCTAATTTTGTACCTGAAATGAATAAATAGGGTAGCTGAATTCCTCCCTCTTTACAACCTCCCTTCCTTTTGTATCTGAGCACCTCACAAAGGGGAATTATCTCATTATCATATTATTCCTAATAAGAAAGGAAGTTTTACAGGCTATGTTCAGACTCCTCTGAAACAATAGCATGAAGAGTAGCTGTGAGCCAGGTGATTTCTACTTCTGACACGCATACTGTCCAAACTGCTGCCATACCGTCAGTCTGCAGACCTGTCTAGACATCTTGGTGGTATATGAAGCCATCAGGTAAGCTGAGATAAATGAGGAGCCACACATTATCAAGCATGTCAGCTTGCTCACAGTCTCATAATTATCTTGAATAAGGAATCTAGTCTCGAAAGAGCCTTGGAATGGCTGGTGAGACAAAGGGCTTACACTTTCCTCGTGGTAACCTAAAAAAATCTATCAGACTCACGAATCTGTATTCCCAAACGCCTATGTCTTAATTCCAAGCCCAAACACAAATACCTGCTCACAGGTGCACATGAAATCTCTGTTGAAGATCTCAGCCCTTAATATCCCCTATATTTTATGCATGATAGCACTCCAAAGAGCACCATGGTCTCATGTACCAGGTGGGATACAATTAAATGCCACAGGAGAGAGTGTCTTGTATCACTCAGAATTATATTGTCCCTGGTCTTATTAAACATGAGACATCTAACATGGCAGGAGCAAGAAGAGTAAAGCATCTGTCGGCCAACATAAATACAAGCCTGCTCTAAAAACTAACATTTACAGAATCATTTTGTGATAAAGCAGAAACAATAAAATGTGATTAGCAAGCCCTTCAGTTCTCACAATTCATTTAAAATGCCATTACAAAATGCAGACTTACCTTAATACGGGCCATGGGTAGAGATTTTTCACTTCAAAAAATTGTAGATTTGCATATTCGCAGGTTTCCCATCCATACCTTTACAAGACTTGCAATCCAAGAAAAGTCAAAGGGCTTACACAAACTGAAACTAAAATCATATGGAAACCATGTGACACAGTTAATGATTTGCTACCTGTCAAGAACTGTCATTCTTATGAATATATTATAAAAATTCTATTCTAAAAATTCGGTTTAGATGTCCCTGTCTATATTAATTACTAAGTTTAATATATTATAAAATTCCCTTCAATAAATTAATATCACACTTTACTCCATAAAAGTAAAAAAAAAAAAAAAATACTCCTTTCCCTCTGTATGCTTATATATCTGTGTATGCGTGTTCAAACTTAGACTTTGTTAGACCTTTGTTAGACCTTTGTTAGACCTTAGTTTGTTAGACCTGTTGAGCGAAAGCCAATAGATATTTATGGAAACATATACATGTTTGGAATATGTTGGAATATGGAAACACACACATGTATATGTGTGTGTTTATGTGTATATGTTTATATATATTCATTTATTTATTTGCATACACATTTATATATCTCAAAGATTTATGAAAAAAGAACAATCTTTTTGGCTATAGTTGAGAACTGTAGTACAACGCACTTTAAAATATGTACAAAAAGCTTTTCTGTGCAATGATACATGAAGCGACTGCACATGTCCAGGGACAAGTGATTAAAATTGTTTTCCTCTGGTAAAACTACACGTGTGTGCAACAGTCTGCTCCAGCTGAGCTATCTGCATGCAGCATACAATTTTTATGCATGTTTAAAAGAGCTGCAGGGTACAAGGAGCAGGTGTTGTGGTTCAGCCTCTATGACTGTGCTGCACAGGATGATTCACACCCTCAGCCAGAGCAGTCTATAGTTTTTCTAGCTCTTAGGACAGAAGATACAATCCTATCACTGTCTTCACAGCGAACATAGTATCAGTGCTTGCCTTTCCTTGTGCTCCTTCCTGCTTCCCCCTTATAGTTAGAAACATCTTAATCCTAAGCAGTTCTTGCAGTGCTTGAAATACCATTATTTTCATGTCATCACTTGAAGAACAGAATCAACAGATCAAGTTAATTTTCCAAAGCTAAAAAAACAGTGTCTGAATCCAAAGCAGTACTGCAGAATTCCTGGTTCAATTGTACATGGTTCATTCCTGTAAGACAACACGTTGGGAAAACACCTTAGGACATCAGTGGGGCAACGCATTATCCATAAAGGCCTTCTGAATAAATGCAGCAGAGGCCTTTCTGCCTGTGCAGAATCATCTCAGTGATGATTCTAAGATAACGGGCCCACTGCATGCATGCCCAACAAACTCCTCATAATGCTGTGAGCATCATGAATGCACTAATTAAAAATGTAGTTGTATATTGCTCCACAATAAAATCCTGGTGACTTCAGAGAAGCAGCACCTCAGCAATTACAATGACACCTGTTCTGTCCTATAACTGATCAAATGAATACAAGCACTCCGTTAGAATATAGCTTTTGTGGACAATATTTCTTTCAACGTTGACTAAGCTACTGTGTGCTTTTGCAGAAAATTGAACATCTGATACCAGCATAAACCTATGCAATCTTTGCTGAGAAAAACAAGAGTGATTCACCATGCCCATCCTGTCTTGCATTCCCCTGACTTGATTGTTCCACTTGCATAAAATCCACTGGAATGGACTGGACCACTGGTTCTTCACAACCTTCACTTCACTGGGACCTCGATGGATGAGACTGCAAGAGTAGCTGCAGACAAGATGAGGCTGTGGCAAACTGACTGTGGACTAGACTATGACTGTGGACTGCTATGTTTAGCAGCTTTTACCAAGACTGCCCCTCTCCATGGATCTGGGCCAGATTTGAAAAGCAACTGCCCTCCAGTGCAACATAGATTTCTTTTAAATCCTAAAAAATCTCTATTGATCTTAATCAATGATTAATATAATTCCTTTATGTATGAAAAATTTTGGTCATCTGAGATATGTTCTCCCTGAATTATAAAAATATACATAATTTAGCAGCAGAGCAATAAATACATTATATACTGAGTTTGGTATATAGTTTTAAATTCTTATAGCTCCATCTCAGCTTTTTAAAATTTGTAATAGGCTTTGCAAGCTATTTGCCCAAATAGTGACTAAGCTCCTACAGGTTTAAAGGAAGGCATCTTAAATCAGCAAAGTCACAAACTCGTTGCTGTGACCTTTGTTATTATTAAAAAATGACAAAAACTCTATAGCACAGAGAGAGAGACAAGGTTTGTGTATCTGATTCTTGGAGTTGAAATCAAGCAGCTCACAAGCTAAATTACTGGCTGGCTGATTTATTTGTTTTCTAGTTAGATTTGCTGTTGAAGAAAGCACGTCTTTAAATTGTGACAAAACTCCTATGGTATTCAGTACACATCTCGTTATTTGCTTCCAAATGGGGTAGGAAGGACCTTTTTTCTCTGCTGTGATTAGTATTAACAGGACATTGGATATTTTATCTTTGGAACAGTCGACTTGTTCCAGACATCAGAAACTAAGGTCCTCACTAGGACTAGCATAGAAATAAACAGGATGAAACGCCGACCTGAAAAACCCCAGGATTTCTCAAGATTCATTGTGTAAGTCTCTCTTTACGTTTGATACTTAAGCTTTGCAGTCAATGAATGTTTTTGCTATTGGTATTAATGGAAGTTACAGAAGAAAATGCATGGCTTGAACGAGTGTATTGGCCGATGACTTCCCCTCAGTGTAATAGCTTCCTCTGCTTCTTCATGAATTACTCCAATACACTTGTAAAGCTGTCAGCCATTTTCTACCACTGCTGCTACTTGGTACCCTGCTGCAGCAGAACCCCTGGACACCTGTCCAGTGAACCCAAAAGTTGAACTCACATGGAATATTTATGTTCTGAGCAGCATTAACATACAGATTTTTAGGAGAATCTCGCAAAGTCACAGAACAGCTGAGGTTGGAAGGGGCCACTGGAGGTCATCTGGTCCAAGCCGCCCTGCTCAAGCAGGGCCACCTAGAGCAGGCTGCCCAGGACTGTGTCCAGATGGCTTTTGAATAGCTCCAGGAAGGGAGACTCCACAACCTCCCTGGGCAACCTGTGCCAGTGCTTGGTCACCCTCACACTGAAAAAGTGTTTCCTGATGTTCAGAAGGAACCTCCTCTGTTTCAGTTTGTGCACATTGTCTCTGGTCCTGGCACTGGGTGCCACTGAAAAGAGCCTGGCTCCGTCCTCTTTGTATCCTCCCTTCAGGTATTTGTAGACATTGATGAGATCCCCCTGAGCCTTCTCTTGTCCAGGCTGAACAGTCCCAGCTCTCTTAGCCTTTCCTCATGGGAGAGATGCCCCCGTTCCCTCCTCATTCCACGTAATCATCTACTACAAACCAGCTGATCTGGCTTTCTACATTTTCTACACAATGCTGCCTCTTAATGTGGGAATCTTGTGGTCTACGTTCCCTCTGCGAAATCTGCTTCACTTCTTTTTGGTTTAAGGTCTCTTTACTTATCTCTGTACCAGGTAACAAGCATAAAAACACAATAAGAAAAATTCTGCAAGTACCGAGAAATATATGCATATCTTACTTAAAATATGTTTTATAAATAGCAGCTAGAATTGTATTAAAATAACACAAAAACCAACCAACCAAAAATCCTCTCAACAAGACTTTCACATACTAATGTCTATGAAGATAAGTATCTCAAGAAATTTTCTATGTATGAATATTTTCTATGTATGAATAATTCTATTTAATTGATTGTCTAATTATCACAGAATTACATGCTTGTGCTTAGATCTATTAGTGTACTACACAGGCACAGTGAACACGCATTTATCCTCAACAAATATGCTTAAAATGGGGAAAAAAGCCAACTGCCAGTACCCAAAGGTTTCTTGAGCGCTAAAAATGCTAACAGTGACCTTGTGGGATTTTCAAAAATACCAAATTGCATTTTATGCATCTCATAGTTGTAGAAAATTAATACTCCATCAAATATCACATTGCATATCACCAACAATCTCCCTTTAGGTTTATTGAAACTCAGCTTTTTTTCTTTTTTTTTTTATTGGTAGTCTAACATTCCCTGCTTCAGAATATTTTTCCCTTCAAAATTTTGTCTTAACAACATAAAACAGTCAGTGAACCAGAAGAACCTGAGGCTATACACTCATATTTGCTTGTACCACATTAGAGAGTATAATAGCAAGACTTTCACGACGTGCCTATAACCCCTGTATTACAAGAGAAATAACAGACTTTTTAAATCGGTAGGCTTGTGCAGGAAACGAAGATGATAGCGGAAGAATGAACCTGCACTTCGTTCCCTAAAGGTACCCACTGCTGCCACCTACAGACGAAACAGATTCACAGCTCCTGCCTAACAGAAAATTTATTCTTTTACTACAGGACAGTAATAGTAGTAATAAGCATTCCCCACGGAACAAGTCTACAGTTCCCCAAACAATTCTTAATTTAGAAAAAAAAAGTCTTGTGATGTTAAAAATAACTGGCACCTTACTATTTCTGAGTTATCAATGGCATGTAAAACTTCAGGTATATCATTTCAGAAATCTCTAAACTTTCAGAATTTTCTTAGAAATAGGAAACGACTGAAATACGCAACTTGCCTTTGCTTAGTTGGTGCCTTCTTCTAATGACACAGCAACTAAGCTTTATCTAAGGACTGAAAATGGGTTGAACGTACCACCAAATAAGTATACACGTGTGCTACAAAATCAGTATAATAGGGTACCTCATGATTAGGTAAGTTCCGGTCTAGTCACAGTTTCTTATAAAACAACAGGCAGGAAAGTAATATGGGAAGAGACTGGAATATTGTGTATAGGGGTGTCTTGCTTACTTCAGCAGCATACCTGCACACAAAAAGGCTTCTTTCCTTTGACCTGAAACATCCTTTCTGTTGTCTGTAGTTCATGCTTTGATGAGCTTGAAAATAAAAAAATCAATGTGATGGTATTATATCTCAAATAAGTAAAGCTTTGATTTTTCAGATAAATCAAAGAAATTGGCTTGAAGGCCCAAATTCAGGGATGGCCAGCAGCTGTACTGTGGCACAGTTTCTGTCTGTGGCTTTTGTGATGCCTGGCAATTAACAGTTGCAATCGAAGTCCATGCCCAGGAGCCGATTTTTTTAATTGCTGCATAACATAGGCCTGCACAAAGTACTGCCGGGCAAGCCTCTTGTGTATCACAAAGCAAACTGTTTGGCTGAATGGGTGACTGCAAGGTAATGCATACTGGTTGTGTAACTGAAGGGTTAGCTAGCACTTCAAGTGTACTAACTGTAGCTAAATTAGCCCTGATGAAACAGCCTACAGGCAAGCATGCTGTTGGTCCCTGGACAATGAAGATGCAGCGCTGCTGTCTGACCAGGCAGCTGAAAGGCACCATTTGTTCTCTGACCTTGGAGGCCAGCTGAAAATCTGGAGTTGTGAGTCAACACTAGCCAAGTGCAGCGTGGCTAGGCAGGTAGCAGGGCATACCTCAGAATGGCCTCCCTGCCTCGTTCCATCCTCTGCCTCATGCTGCCCAGGAAGCCAAACGCATCAGGTGGATCTGTGGCAGACTGAGAACCAGCAACGGGGGAAGAAGGAAAGAGACATAGTGTTAGAATGGGGAACAGCTTGTCATGCACGGCAAGATGCAGACCTTTGTTAGTATGTTGAAGCCTTTAATAGCTCATCTCCCGGCATGTATTGCATGTATTACTTGCCCACATTAGTGTTTAAGCAAACAAAAAAATTTAAACTTTGAAGTTTCATGAAGTTACAAAGTTCTGTTGAAGCCACAAAGTTTTGTTTTTCAGTTCCATGCTGTACTCCGAGTTGTTTGTATCTAACAAGGCTTTTGGAAGTTTGCCTATCAAGATAATGTTTGGGGATTTCTGCCCCTTCAAACGACAGTGGGAATCTGTTCTGTTTGCCCATGCAAATCCTAGAACTGGGCCCAGATCACATATAAGGGTTGCAACTCTATTTTCATATAATGAAAAACCATTTAAGCAAAAAATGTTACCACCAAACACTTTTTTGTGCTTTGTATTTGTTGTGGCTTAACCCAGCAGGCAGCTAAACACCACACAGCTGTTTGCTCACTCCCCCACTACCAGTGGGATGGGGGAGAGAATTGGGGAAAAAAAAAAGTAAAATTTGTGGGTTGAGGTAAAGACAGTTTAATAGGACAGAAAAGGAAGGGATAACAATAATAGAATATACAAAACAAGTGATGCACAATGCAATTGCTCACCACCCACCCACCAATGCCCAGCCAGTTCCCAAGCAGCGGTCACCACCCCCCAGCCAACTCCCCCCAGTTTATATACTGAGCATGACGTGACACGGTATGGAATATCCCTTTGGCCAGTTTGGGTCAGCTGTCCTGGCTGTGCCCCCTCCCAGCTTCTCGCTGGCAGGGCATGAGAAGCTGAAAAGTCTTTGACTAGTGTAAGCACTGCTTGGCAACAACTAAAACATCAGTGTGTTATCAACATTGTTCCCATCCTAAACCCAAAACACAGCACTGTACCAGCTACTAGGAAGAAAATTAACTCTATCCCAGCTGAAACCAGGACAGTATTGCTATGATCATCTTATAAATTTACATTTATTTGTTACAGGTAATACATAGAATCTTATATAGGTATAAAACAATCAGATAACATTTGAAATTCTAATATTGGTAAAGCTGCCCACAGTAATATTACCTGCTTTAATTTCAGGTTAAATCGTCTTTATTCTTCATTTACAGGTACTTTAAGGAGAGAACAAGTCTGCTCTAATTTCTCTAACAATGCAATTAAAAGTTGAAAGGCAATTAATCAGGGCTTTTCAGAGGGGACACTGCAAAGCCAAACAGGTGAATTTCAGCACCTTGCAGGCTCTAGAATGAATGCTGTTTGCAAACACAGTATTACTACTTGGACAACAGTGACAAAATTTCACAAAATCACAGAACAGCTGAGGTTGGACGTGACCTCTGGAGGTCTTCTGGGCCAACCCCCCTGCTCAAGCAGGGCCACCTAGAGCAGGCTGCCCAGGACCATATCCAGACAGCTTTTGAATAGCTCCAAGGAGGGAGACCCCACAACCTTCCTGGGTGACCTGTGCCAGTGCTCGGTCACCCTCACACTGAAAAAGTGTTTTCTGATATTCAGAAGGAACCTCCCGTGTTTGAGTTTGTGCCCATTGCCTCTGGTCCTGGCACTGGGCCCCATGACAGGACCAGAGGCAATGGCCCTGTGACAGAGCCTGGCTCCGTCCTCTATGCATCCTCCCTTCAGGCATTTATATACATTGATGAGAGCTCCCTGAGCCTGGCTGGACAGTCCCAGCCCTCTCAGCCTTTCCCCATAGGAGAGATGCTCCAGTCCCTTCATCACCTTAGTGGCCATTTGCTGGGACTCTCTCCAGTAGCTCCCCAATTTTCTTAAAAATGCTGAGTCCTAGATAGTTCCTATATGCCATACAGGAGCATATATAGCTCCTATATATCCTGTAAGTGAGAATGTTCTCAGAATATACAGAAGATACAGCTGTCCCTACCACAGATTCCTCCCAGCTTTTGGAAAGAGCCAGCAGAGCCCGGACCTGACTCTCACCAGGCAGCAGCGAGGCACCGACCCCTCAAAGGAGAACGCCGCCTTTATCGCACTGAATTACCACAGTGTTTGTTCCTAGAGGCCCAGTTTT